TTTCGGATTGCATGTGAAAACCCCACACTGTACCCCAGAAGTGCATTAATGTATATAGTTACCATTCAATAAAAAAAAAATTAATAATTATTTCCTATTTAATTTTCAAAACTGTCACATAAAAATAATTTTATTAGTGAAGGAAGCACTTTCACTGAGGTATGTCTGAGCCATCCTTGCCTTACTACGCTCTAATTCCTTTCCCTGACTTGTTAAAATAAAATACAGAATTTAAGCGTCTGAGAACCAGTAATTTTTTTTTTCACAGCTCGTCAATATAGAATCCTTCAAAGAAATAGTCAATGCTTTCTTTGAAGACATGGACTCTAGCATAAGAACCCTTCTTGGGCAGTGATATAATTGAAACTCTGAAAAGTATTTTACAGTTGCACCTAGAATGATAGCTTCTGTTTGTGGCTACCATTGGTTTTCATAGAGCTCCCTTCAAATACTTCCTTCAAGACATTCTATCATTCTATGATTCCATAAAGGAATCAAGATGTGATTGGTATCTCCTACAAGTGGTTTCTAATTTGCAGGAAATCCCGGTGAACTTTGCTCCCATGCAGTGTTCCCAATTATGATGCCACTTTCACGTAGGTTTCTCGGTTTGGCTTTCATCCAGGCTGTTAGGTGAAATTAGGCCCAGAAAATCGGATTATTGCGTCCCGAGGGAAGGGGCTGATAAGCAGCAGATGATTGCTGGTCCCCTTGCTACTTGCCTGTGTTGAGGTGTTGCTAGTTGCAAAGCCAATTTGTTAACAATTAGTGCTCATTAGAATCATTTCCTGTTATTGATTCTGAACATTTGACAAAGCACTTTTAGGAAATTGGACTCCAAAAAGTAGCTATATGTCAGTGTTGACCAATTAAAAATCTTCAGGATCCAGTGTAATTTCTAACCAGAGTCATCAGTTTCCAAGTAATTATTTTTGCTTTGGAACCCACCTGCTATCCTGTCCAGTTTAAAGATGTACTGGAACAAGGACATACTTCTTAATTAGCGGAGGTTATGGAGAAGTCAGTCTGGGAACAAAAGGAATTTTCTTTTATTGTCTGCTTTAACTGTTTATATTATATCTTTAAGAGACAAAACCGGTTAGCTTGTAATACATGTATTTGCAAGTGTGAAATTCAATATACTGTTTCTATTATCTAAACATCTAAGCTTAGTTTTTTAGTCTGCATTCACCTTTCTACATTTTAAACTCTAAATATAGAACCACAAATGGAATCATTGTGCATTACATTAGAATTTAAATATTGCCAATGTCAGCTTCCTGAAATATTATATATGACTTTAATAAAATTAGCATAAATACTATATGCATTGGAATTTTTATGAGAAAAGGCATTGTATTTTTATAATTTTAAATATAGATCTGCTTGCATTATAGTGCTACAAATATATATTTCAATAGAAATGGCCTGATTATCTAATTAAAATATTTATTATCTGTACAAGTGTCATCTCTTCATGTATGCTTGAATGCTATTTATTTATACTCAAAGAACATGCTTGTTTCCTCATTGGTGATAGTCATTACATAGGAACTATTCAGTTATTTTTGTAAGATCAGAATTAATCCTGAATGAGAATGCCCACCTTGTTCTTTTCCCATCACACCCCCGCCCAAATTTTCCTTTCCTTCTGTGTTTATTTTATAAAGTTAAATAATTGCTCCTATTTTCATCCCCTCCTAGATTTAAAAATGACAAAAATATTTCTTCTCATTGTTGCAGGACATGGAGATGTGAACTAAGTATATTTCTGTTTCTGAATTTCTTATTGCCATATTAAAAGCTTACCTAAATGGAGAAATTAAGTGTGTGTTCTTTTTTGAAATGCCCTGTGCTCAACCCCTTTATCCTTAATAAACAGAGATGGTATTGACACAAGTGAATTTTGTTTAACCACACTACATTTGCTTCTTAATTAGTGAATATTCATCTGTCATCAGCAGCAGCTATGACACCCCTCCCTGCTAACATGTTCTGTCATAAATAATCAATGAGGCACCATTAATATTCATGAGCTGGAATCTGTGTAGTCATGTGCACTGATGCAGAGACGGGGGAGTGTTGCCATGAACTGACTGGAAACTCTGTGTGTGTATCCGTGAGTGCAAGATACTTGGGGAAAGCGGAGAAGAGCATGCTGCTCCACAAGCCCCTGGCTCACGCTTCCAGCAACAGCGGTTTGTCTGTGTTTCTGGACTGAAGTGACTGATGAAAAACAGTAGTCAAGTCTGGAGGGTGATTCCCTTTCAGTTCACTTGCCTTTCAGTTCTGGGGAAATTAGAAGATTTGCTCTCTCTCTCTGCTTCTTAGAATGGGCTGCAATTTGTGCACTTTTCAGAAAAGAGAGGAACACTACAAACTGCTCTATGAAGTTTCCCAGGTGAGTGCAGGGTCTAATACCAGCAACTAAATAGCCAGGCTTTGTGTTGGTCTGAAAGACGGTAAATGCATTCTGGCTAGCTTTATTTCTCCTTTCAGCACATTTGAGAATTGAGGGCAGACTTGCTGGTTTGGGGCTTTTTATTTTGATTTCGGGTGGCAGTTTTCAGCTTCCTTGCCACTCCCCCTTCAGATGACTTCCTGTGGGATTCTTTTTAACATTTTGTGTATCTACTGCCAAGATGTCAGTCACGTAAGAGGGGTAGCACTGAGATCCCTGTCTGTAATATTTTGAGATAGCCTCTCTCATTTTGGAATGCTGTTGACATTTGAGAATCAATTGTATCATTGTCTGCGTGAATATTGGGATTTAATAGGTCTATGATCTCAGTTATTTTGAATAGAGAGGAAAAGTTTCTTGCCAAATGTTGTTAGTCAGAGGAAATTATTGGATTAATTAGGAATTTGTGCTTTGGTTTAAGAGGAAGACCTAGTATTTCTGTATTATAGGAGAGAGAAATATGTATGAGAAATCTTGGCTTAAGAGGAGATAAAGGGATTTTCTTACTGCTTGTTCTTGGATCCTGTTTACATTTTTTTGTTTGTTTAGCACTAGAAATGAATTTCAAGAACTTATTATAATACCTCTATGTGACCTAGGAAAAAGTATAAATTCAGGTGTCTGTGCAATGTGTATCTGAGTGCTTTCCAGAATAGAAATAAGAAAGCAGTATCATCAGCCTTCATAATGTTAATGGGCTTCTATTAATTGATTATTTTATTTAAGCAAGCTCCCCTAGGGGGTATGCTTACGTTCAAATTTCTTGTCTGGCAAAATAAAGTTTATTTCTCCCTTCTTCCTGTTTGTCCCAGATGTGACACACTACTACTTTTGTTTTCAGACAAGATTGCTGATGAAAGACAATGTTTGGGATGTTGGTGGTCCACTGCACAGCCAAGCGCCCACTGCCCACTGGCTCCCTCAGATTTCCCCCTGACGTGATCCGTTTCACAGTGGGCTAATTACAAAGTGGATTTGCTACACATGAAACAGCCTCCTCAGTTGCAATGTTAATGCACATTTTCATGGTAATGTGATCAGAGGCTCATTAGCCAGTTTCCAAAATGATCCTCTGCATTAATTAAATATAAAAATGACTGCTTTATCACCATAGAGAGGAAAAAGAAGATTAACATTGTTAATTACACCGGAGGCGATACTTTTTGCTTCATTTTTTACTATGAACTTGCAAGGGGAGGCTAGATAAGCTCTGTCTACTTTGACTCATAAAAACAGTCTCTAGGTGGAACACTTTCCTTTAGTTTGGTTACTGGAGTTTGAGTTCTCAGTATTGTCTTTCTATAGATGGTGGAGAAGCAGAGGAATGGGTTCATCGACCTATTTTTTTTCTCTAAATTACTAAAATTATATTAAAGTCTGATATAGATGAGGTGATGGGTGGCATCTTCCCTGATTATGCCTAAATTATGCTGTTGATATTCTACTAATTCGAGCAGGATTACTGCATTCAGAAAGGACCACTGTATTTGCTAAGAAGCAGGAGCCTTTGTTACAGATTTTTAAAATGCTTGTCTGTGAGTTTTTCCTTCAAGTGCTTCCTAAATCTTGAGAAAATAGATAAGCCGTACTCTTTATTGCCTCTACCTGGACTCCTCCATATATTTATTTTATTTGCTCCACTCCTGTGTTGCAGTACTTATGATCTTTAATAAGGAGGGCAAGAAATGAAGTATTAGCTTCCATTTAACTGGCTTTTATTAGATAAGTTTTAAAACCCCAGCTTAAAGGTCTTGCCTGTGTTCCCAAGGGGAGCTCTCCCACAGTTTGTCCCCAGCTTTGCCTTCTATTTTATTGAGTTAATGGAATAGATAAGATATCAAAGGAAACCAGTGCTAGGCTCATATAATACACTGGAGCCCCGTGCGGTGCTGAAAACTAGTTTCTATTTTTATTTGGAGAAAGGCAGCTTAGAGCACACATGAAAGTGAGCCTGTTCTTAACCAGGTGTTCAGAAGGGCACAGAGCTGCCCCATAAGAGAGGATACTATTTACAAAAGTGACTTGAGATTGGAGTGTTTCTTGCTGGTATGTTAAAATGAATTAACCCACCAAACATTAACACCTGATGGCCCAAATCATATCTATTTATAGACTTGTAATTCTCAGATTGCCTACCTTTCTGTTTCTCTTGTTATTATTTCTTAAGAGCTAGGGCAAATGGAAGACTGGGGTTATGACAATTTAAGATGAGCAGTGAATACTAAATATAAGGCCAACAGCCAAATGTTTACTTCTTTATAATAGAATCATTACGATATTGAACTTGTTCACATTTTCTTTCTACATTTACTGACCTGATAACACAGGCCAGTTTCAGGTTTATAACCGCAGTAAACAAAAGCAAATGCACTCACTGAGGGGTCTGGAGAAACAATCAGAATGATGTGCTTAGGTGTGAAATGAGGTCACGTTCACGTTTTGTTGCTATCTTTCGCTCCTATACAGGAGCTAAGACTTCAATTGGCACAGGAGATGGAATGTCACCTCAAGAAAATCATTTTCAGCTGGAGCTGGACCAATCAGGCTCTACTCTGCACACAGATGCAAGAATCTAAGATTTGGGTAGATCTAGTAATCTTCACACCAATCGGTTTTCATATCTCTTTATGCATCCATTAACTTGTACATGTGCCAAGGACACAATTGTTATCTGCAATGATTTATTTTATTCAAAGTAGGTTATTTATTAACCTCTTAAGAATTAACAAATGAGTCATCTGAACAATGCCCTTCTCTCGACACTCACTGAATTGCCTGTTTTGTATTAATTTGATCAAATAGCCACCTGGACCAAGAGAGTGTCAATAGCTCGTTAGGTTTTTCTGACCTAATAACAGATTTATTTCTGGGTGAGGTTATATGGCAGTAGTTAAATCTAATGACTTCTCAGCTTGATTTTTCACACATAAATCAAAGGTAACTTTTTGATTGATTGCACGATGGCAGTTATCAAAGGGGTTGAACAATCTGTTATAACTGGGAGCAAATGTTTACAAGTTTGTACTGTTAACACAGTTATTTTTCGGATTTCTTTTGAGTCCTATGATGTAATAGGCAAGATTCTGTTCTTATTTGCTTGCCACATTAGAGAAAAAGAAATTAATTTGCTTTCCATTTCAGGGAAAGCGGAAGTGGAATAGTGCCGGTTCTCCAGGCAGCCTGACTGCTGGGAGCGCCTTTCTGTTCTAAGTGGACACTGTTGCACAACACTTTTAGAAATGTGAATGGTTTGGCACAGCGGAAATGCCTCCCTGCCACCCACAGTCATGAATTCACGAACTGAAACAGAATCTGCCTTGAAAATAACAACACTGTTTGCAGCACTAACAGTGAGCACTTCCTATGTTGTGGCTACAGTGCCAAGAACGTTTTCCCTGATAATCATCTCATTTAAATCTCACACTAATTCCACGAGGTTACGTTACAGGATCCCTTCTCGTAATTTTCAAATATGTTAAAGTCCCCTCTGTGCTACCGTGTCCGCTTGAATGTTCTGCAATCTGCCTGCTCTGGGTACTGTCCTGCAATCTGCCTGCCCTGGGTACTGTCCCAGATCCTTCAGAAATGTTTGTCTTGTAGTCTGTAAAGCCAACTTCTGATCTTGTAACCTCTCCCCCGAAATGCCTCCCCTTCCCTGCATTCCTTAGCGCTAGTCAAGGTCTCACCTTCCTTTTTTAACAAAACTCAAAGCCATTGGGTGAAAAGGGACCCTTTTGGCTGCTTCTTCTTCTTCTTCTTTTTTTTTTTTTTGCAGTTTTTGGCTGGGGCTGGGCTTGAACCCACCACCTCCGGCATATGGGGCCAGCGCCCTACTCCTTTGAGCCACAGGCACCACCCCCTTACAGCTTCTTTATCCTGGCCATGGGCTCGCTGCTCCTTTGCCTTAAGCATGGTGTCCAGCGTATACCTTGTCTTCCTGAAGTCACAGCTCCTTTCATCAACTCCCTTTTATATCATGACAAGAACTTCCCCTCTCAGAACTTGTCAGTGTCCCTGGCCCCCTTGATTGCTACTACTGGGATAATTTTGTAGAAAATGCTTGCTGGCTCCCAATGAGTGTAAAATGAAGTAAAAAAAAAACAAAATTTATTCCAGTATTCATGGCCCCCCTGAGCTGTGTGTAGGCACCTTCCAATTTCTCTCTTCCTGAGCTTTCCCTAGTCCTCAGTGCCATCTTTAATGCTCCAGTCCTTATTTTTTTTTCTTTTCACTTTAATTTAGCCTCCCCATTTGGACCTTGTACACAGTTCTTTTTTTTTTTTTTTTTTTTTTGCAGTTTTTGGCCGGGGCTGGGCTTGAACCCACCACCTCCGGCATATGGGGCCAGCGCCCTACTCCTCTGAGCCACAGGCACTGCCATATACAGTTCTTTTTACACAGCTTCTGTGGAACATGCTTGGTATCCACTTCCACCTCTGTTTTTGTTTCCATCATTAGTTATTCAAATGTCTCCATAAACCAGAAGCAAACTCCCTGTGCATGAAGTTGGGGGGTCAGGTGGATTTTTTAAATCTCAGGAATTTATACTGGGAAACAGGAAATGACTAATGAGATTAGCATATAAAGGAATGAAGAGAGGGAGAGAAGACGGGAGGGAGGGAATGAGACAGAGAGTGAGCACGTGTGCACTTGAAGAGGTTGGGAACTTGAGTGTCTGTGGTTTCACCATATACAGGAAGATCAGACCTAAATCCAAGACACCTAGAAGTAAAGCAGATGGGACATGACAAAGAGAAGCCTAAGGTTATCAGTAGCAGAATGGCTCAGAGTGCCTTCATTTCCCCTGTTCCAACATTCCTATGATAAATCACCATTTTATTTGCTTGAATGAGATCTCTATTCTTCACAATCAGAACAGTAAGTGGAGACACATCATAGTAATGTCTTACTTTTGTTAACCACTCAGCAAGTGCCTTAAA